CACAACAACTCCTGTCAAAACCAGAACTAAATTCCAATTGATTATGTGCAGCACAGACGACTTCTGCTACACCAACAACATCTGCAGCTTCAACAACCACCGCAGCCAATCCAATAACTGCTGCTCCTATGACGACTGCATCCCCCACAACAACTGCTGTCAAAACCAGAACTAAATTCCAAAGAATATGTGCAGCACAGACGACTACTGCTACACCAACAACATATGCAGCTTCAACAACCACTGCAGCCAATCCAATAACTGCTGCTCCTACGACAACTGCATCCCCCACAACAACTCCTGTCGAAACCAGAACTAAATTCCAAAGAATATGTGCAGCACAGACGACTACTGCTACACCAACAACATCTGCAGCTTCAACAACCACCGCAGCCAATCCAATAACTGCTGCTCCTATGACGACTGCATCCCCCACAACAACTGCTGTCAAAACCAGAACTAAATTCCAAAGAATATGTGCAGCACAGACGACTACTGCTACACCAACAACATATGCAGCTTCAACAACCACTGCAGCCAATCCAATAAATGCTGCTCCTACGACAATGACAACTGCATCCAAAAGAAAAACTACATTGCAAACAATATGTGCAGCACAAAAATCTGCTGCTACTCCCTCAACAACTGCCGCTAAAACAAGAACTACCTTCCAAAGATTATGCGCAGCACAGACGACTACTGCTACACCAACAACGTCTGCAGCTTCAACAACAACAACAACTGCAGGGAGTCAAATAACTGCTGCTCCTACGACAGTTGCAGACCCAACGACAACTGCCCCCAAAAGAAGAACTACATTGCAAACAATATGTGCAGCACAAACACCTACTGTTAGCCCAACAACATCTGCTGCCTCGACGACAACTGCTTCAACATCAACAACTGCCACCATGCCTACAATCGCTGCAACAACAAAATATACAGACCCTACGGCAACAGACGCCCTTAAAACAACTGCTCCCCCAACATCAACAACTGCCGGCCCAACCACAACTACAGCCTCAACAGCTGCGGCCCCGGCATTCACATCTGCAGCCCCAACAGCAAATACTATACAGTCCCAATACAGCCCCAACAGCAAAACAACTGAAGCCCCAAGGACAACTGCTACCAAGACAGCAACTGCTGCCCTGATGACAAATACAGCACTTCCACCAACTGCTGCCTCAACGACAACTCGTTTAACATCAACCACTGACGCCAAAAAAATAACTGTTTCCACACTATCATCAACTGCCTCTCTGCATTCAACTGCTGCAACAACAAAAAATTTAGCCCCGAGAGGCGTGTCATCGCCTACGGCAACTGAAGCCGGTATAACAACTGCAGCCCGTCTGACAAAAGCTGGCGCCCCAATATCTGCAGCCCCAACTACAACTGCTCTGCTAACAACAACAACTGAGACTACAACTGCCGTCACCCAATCAGCCACAACTACAAATACTAACAATGACGGTTGCCGTTTCAGACTGAGGATGACACACCTGCTCCTCGGACTCCTTGTCTTTGCTCTCTGTTAGAACAATGGGGCTTTGACAATATGACCTCAATATAAATATATTACATTGGTCTGATGTTAGGTCACTACTGTCTTGAATATACTGTATATCAAAACCTGTTTAATAAAGCTTCTGATCTATAACAGTTTATAGCTTCTATGGTGTTTTTATCCAGAAGGCAAACAATAATGGACTAAAGACAAATAGTAGCCACTGTAATAAACAAGATTTCTTAAAATACTTTGAGAAAAGAGACAAAACAAATATCTGGTCCCTAAATACATTTAGCCTCGGATAGTCACTCTAATCTCCTCACAAATAGGTCTCTAGTTACACGTCAGACGTATGGCCCCTCTTTAGATTAGGAATGCCCATGACACAGAAAGACTACAAGGGATGCATGTATAAAATACTTTATTTGTAATAAAACGGAGATAATTTATATTTTAAAATAACAGTCTTCCAATGTGTTGCACGTCCACCAGGAAAAATCCAATTACGAGCTGTCAGACCGCTGGAGTCCATTACAGTCTATTCGGCCGCGTTCTGTTCAGGGTGGACTGTAGAGGGCTACCGTGTGACTGGTGCTACTTTGTGACTGGTGCCCCCTCACTTCGAAGGACTTCCCCGGCCACGTACACCAGAACAAAAGTAGTGGTTACAACTCAAAAGGTCTACTCTCGTCTGCTTCCATTCAGTGCAGCACCGTTCCGTTTGTTCGCCATGCAATTCACAGTGAACACACAAGACAAAACCATCCATCCATCCATTTTCAACCGCTTATCTGGGGTCGGGTCGCGGGGGCAACAGCTCCAGCAGGGGACCCCAAACTTTCCTTTCCCGGGCCACATCTACCAGCTTTGACTGGGGGATCCCAAGGCGTTCCCAGGCCAGTGCAGAGATATAATCTCTCCACCTAGTCCTAGGTCTTCCCGCTTGTACCTGTAACCTAGTTCTTTCGGTCATGACCCATCCTTCATGACCATAGGTGAGGGTAGGAACGAAGATTGACCGGTAGATCGAGAGCTTTGCCTTCCGGCTCAGCTCTCTTTTCGTCACAACGGTGCGGTAAAGCGAGTGCAATACCGCCCCCGCTGCTCCGATTCTCCGGCCAAACTCACACTCCATCTTCCCCTCACTCGTGAACAAGACCCCGAGGTACTTGAACTCCTTCACTTGGGGTAAGGACACATTCCCTACCTGGAGTAGGCAATCCATCGGTTTCCTGCTGAGAACCATGGCCTCAGATTTAGAGGTGCTAATCCTCATCCCGACCGCTTCACACTCGACTGCGAAACGCTCCAGTGAGAGTTGGAGGTCACAGACGGAAGATGCCATCAGGACCACATCATCTGCAAAAAGCAGCGATGAGATCCGCAGCCCCCTGAACTGTAGACCCTCCCCCCCCTGACTACGCCTCGATATCCTTTCCATGAAAAACACAAACAAGATTGGTGACAAGGCGCAGCCCTGGCGAAGGCCAACCCCCACCGGAAACGCCTTCCACTTACTGCCGAGCACCCGAACACAGCTCTCGCTTTGGGCGTACAAGGATTGGATGGCCCCAAGCAAGGACCCCCTCACCCCGTACTCCCGCAGCACCTCCCACAGTTTCTCTCGGGGGACCCGGTCATACGCCTTCTCCAAGTCCACAAAACATATGTAGACTGGATGAGCATACTCCCAAGCCCCCTCTATGATCCTTGAAAGAGTGAAGAGCTGGTCCGTTGTTCCACGACCAGGACGAAAACCGCATTGTTCCTCTTCAATCCTTGGTTTGACTATCGGCCGAATCCTCCTTTCCAGCACCTTAGAGAAGACTTTACCCGGGAGGCTGAGTAGTGTGATACCCCTGTAATAGGCACACAGTCTCTGGTCCCCCTTTTTGAAGAGGGGTACCACCACCCCGGTTTGCCACTCTTTTGGCACTGTCCCAGACTTCCACGCAATGTTGAAGAGGCGTGTCATCCAAGACAACCCCCCGACACCCATTGCTTTTAGCATCTCTGGACGGATCTCATCAATCCCCGGGGCTTTGCCATTGCGGAGTTGTTTGGCTACCTTAGTGACCTCCACCAGGCCAATTGACGATGATCCCTCCTCCGCCTCCAGCTCCGCCTCTACCAAAGAGGGCGTAGTAGTTGGGTTCAGGAGTTCCTCAAAGTGCCACCGCCCGATAACCTCCTCAGTCGCGGTCAACAGGGTCCCATCCTTACTCTACACAGCTTGGATGGTTCCCCGTTTCCCCCTCCTGAGGTGCCGGATGGTCTTCCAGAAGCACTTTGGTGCCAACCGAAAGTCCTTCTCCATAGTTACCCCGAACTCCTCCCATACTCGCTGCTTTGCCTCCATCACGGCAGAGGCTGCTGCCCTTCGAGCCTGTCGGTACACTGCAACTGCCTCCGGAGTCCCACCGGATATCGTAACCCGGAAGGCCTCCTTCTTCAGTCGGACGGCTTTCCTGACCACCGGTGTCCACCACTGGGTTCGAGGGTTACCGCCCCTTGATGCCCCTAAGACCTTGAGGCCACAACTCACTGCCACGGCTTCAGCAATGGAGGTTTTGAACATACATCACTCTGGTTCAATGTCCCCTACCTCCACAGGAATGTGAGAGAAGCTCCACCGGAGGTGTGAGTTGAAAATCTTTTGGACCGGGGCCTCCTCCAGACGTTCCCAGTTCACCCTCACTACACGCTTGGGTTTACCAGGTCTGTCCCAAGTCTTCCCCCATCCTCTGACCCAGCTCACAACCAGATGGTGATCAGTTGACTGCTCTGTCCCTCTCTTTACCCGAGTGTCCGGAACATGCGGCCTCAGATCAGACGATACGATTACAAAATCGATCATTGATCTTTGGCCTAGGGTGCTCTGGTACCACGTACACTAGAGTTCTTGTTTCAAACTCTACAAAATTATCATTGTCAAAATGCCTCGCAGTTCTACAGTAGTAGTATGTAAATAGATGGAGGTGGTTCAGTGAAGTCACTGACATTGATTACGTTTTGTGTCAAAGAAATACAGTTTTCCATGAATGGTATAGAGTTATACATTGAGCTCCCAAAAACAAAGGATTATGGCCATTACGTGACAGGTATGTGTGAGGCAGCACAGTAAGGATTTACATGCAGACCAGAACAAGTTCAGTTCTTTATTAAAAAGGCGTAAGTGCACCTGTTAAACAACCAAGTTCACAAAGAAATGCAAGGGCCGGGGAAATGAGAAGGCAGAATGGAGTCACAGAAGGAGAGATTAGGTGTCAATGTAATACCTGTGTTACTTGTTGGATCATTTCTTTTTGTTTTTCAGAGGAACAATGTTATGAGAATAATAGGATTTCTATTGTTCAGTAGTAGCATGTAAGTGTGGCCATTCAGCAAAAGCAGGTGTGGCAATTTTCTCACGGTCCTGGAGCAACTGTACAATTTGAAGAACTCTAAAGTAATTGACAAACTGAATATTGGATCAAGATTTCTTTTAAACTTTTCATGCAGATTGAGATCAAAAGTTGAGATATCTTTAACACGGGAATACAAGGCATGTAGAATGTAAAGAAAACGAAAGCTACAAGCACCAATATTTCAAAAAGTTGCCAAATCTGCGACACCGCCAGTCCATTCCTTTTAGGCCTCCTTCTCTACCTCATAAAAATGTCTATTGCCTTACTGAAAGCTGTTAAGCTATGGTAGCTTGTGGAACCCTGTGCGATGCGCAATGAGTGCAAGGCAGATTGGCAAAACTATCCGTTCACAGACTTATTAGTCCTGTGTGAGCCAGACATACCAGATTTTTATGTAACGTAAATGTACTGAGAATTTAACACCCAACATTGTGAAATCACAGTGATAATCATTACATTACAGGTCATTTAGAAGACGCTTTTATCCAAAGCGACTTACATTAAACCCATGGCTTTTTCACATTTTTGCCTGGGGAGCAATTAGGGGTTAGGTGTCTTGCTCAGGGACACTTCAACATGGAACATGGGGCACCCTGGACTCAAACCACCAACCTTGTGCTTCCCAGCACATCTTCTCTAACCCCTGCGCCACAACGACCCCATCATATTTGTGTTGTGAAAATGTCTCGTAAATAACACAAGATTATAAAAACTTAGGAACCAGGTATACTTTTCTTTCATCGCAGTAAAAGTTTATTCAACAAAGCAGACTGAATAAAACAGCAATACACCTAATCCATGTCAGATACAGGAAAAAAAGAACTTCGGTTCAAAGCTGGAGCTTCAAATGACACACATCTGATACAAAACTTGGTATTGAAATTGAAAAAAATAGTGGTGTTTCATCAGTTATTTTAGTAAACAAGTGAAACTTGCTTTTGGTATGGGACTTGCTAATGGTTTAGTCTGACCAAGTCTGATCCTACTAGCAAAACATATTTGTTCAATTTATCTCTTTAAAACTTAAAGGTTAAAGCTCTTCTTTCTTCTTTATGATTATCTGCCGCACCATTTCGGCTATTTTGGGTCTGATTTCTTTGACAGAAACCTTTGGTCCCCATGCATTCAACACTTTCCCATTTACATCAACGAGATACTTCCAGAAATTCCAGTCAGGCTCATTTTCAGAAGATTCTGTAGAGAATGAAGGAAGAAAAAGGAGTTAATATTTACAGTTTAAATCAGCTAATGACATCTTCACGTCTGTTTTGTTATCTATGTTATTTGTCATCTATAAGTATCATTTGCCCGTTAGCGGTGGGATCCTCCAGGTGCCACCGTGTTCATTTGGAAACCTGATTGTCTTGGGCTCATTTGCTCAATAAAGCAGACGCCTTCAAATTACGCAACAACAAACTCCTGGCAACACCTTAACATCTCACTCACCAACAAGGTACTTGTAGACATTGTTGGCTCCGGTTCCGACGACGGCGATTTTACTGAACAGGGGGAAAGAGACGCCGTAAACTCTACGAACAAAGCTGTCAATCTCCTTGTCGCTGCCGGGCTCCTGCTGCCCAAACTGGTTGCAGGGGAAGGCCAGCACATTGAAGTGATACGGCCCAAAGTCCCGCTGGAGCTGCTGCAGGTCTTTGTAGTGCTCTTCTGTAAAGCCACATTCACTGGCTACATTCACCACCAGGGACACCTAAGGGCAAAGGAGCACACAGTGAAGAAACAGCAACGTTTCTGGATAAGCGTAGATGAACATGGTCTGTGCACATCATTTGTTAGTTTTGTTAGTGTGTGTTCACTTCAGAAGGCACTATGCGTGAAAGGAAGGACCATATTCTTCTATTTTGATACCATAGTGCAGAGGTCTTCAACAGGGGGACCGCGACCCCCAAGGGGTCCACGAAGGTACTCCAGGGGGCTCGCGAAATTTTTGGTTGATAAGACAATTTCATTAAACAATTTTTTTCTCCACAAATGTCAATGTCTTCAGAATCAGAATTGTATTTATGGTCTTTAAATACACATTAACATGAATCCAACATATTGAAGCGAACGGATAAATTGATGGAGAAGACGTTATCTGTCAGTGCGCAACACACACATTCAGCTTCTCAGCAGCTCTCAAGCTGGGCACCGGTTCACTCACTGCTCCTTTCATGCGAATACGACAGCGCAGGCACCAGCCAATCAGATCGCGTTTATGCTCACGTCTAAAGAGCGTGAAGCTCAAAAATAAAAGATGGCAGATCAAACTCCGTAGAATAGGGGGTCCCTGCTCCACCTCACCATCAGTTTGGGGGACCTTGGCTTGAAAAATGTTGAAGACCTCTGCCATAGTGGAAGAATGATTACATATTAGTATACATATATATATATTTATTACTATTGGGAATTTTGACTACATGAAAAACTATAATTACACAATATCTTTACAAAGCAAAAAGTTGCTATCAAAGCTTTAACTTTAAATTTTTAACAGCTCCAACAAGTCTGAAAGAAAAAACTTATCTCTGAACCCTTTGAGGGTGTGATTGTTTGGATGTACACATTTGCACAGCTCACATCGATGTACGCACAGCGTACGTTTGCACAACACTGCAGAACTTGAAGTTTAGCAAAGCAAGGAAAATACTAACATTAAATCAAGTACTTTCCTTAAGAATGGTTCTTTTAACTAACTTGTGTTTTTCAGTAAGATGTCTGATGAGATCAATGCCCCTGTGGTTTACCTTTTCATGTTTGGTGTAAGTCATGGGTGGACGTGTACAGACACGCGGCATGGGAACAGAATGAGCATGTTAGTGCAGGTTAGTACATGTTAAAGCCTCAAGCTTCAGTTCACAGTCTATTTCTCATCCCTGGATAAGCAAGCATGTGCGTTCTTTGAGACTACAGACTGACAGTTTGACCATCGCATCATCTCGTGCTGACATCTAGTGTCACAAAAGAGTAAAGATGACTTTATAAAATCAAAAGTAAGAAGTACTGAATTGTATTACTAGTATTCTGACTCAAATGCCTTATGAGTCTTATTTAATAACCTTGACAAACTCAAATAAAATCTGAGGTAGATGTAATGTAAAACGTAGCGTTATATTGCATGAACTACTAAAGGTGAACTCTACAGTCTGTTTTGAATGGGAACGTTGTGAAGTTCATGCAGATGCAGCGGCTCTGCAGCGGCTCCGCAGGCCTCCTGCCACGTAGACTAGCGGCGCTTCATGATGGGACATCGGCCTGCGATCGGGTTAGTTACGTCTACTAACGCAATGCCCACCGGGAGATATTAGAAAAAAAACTCCCCATGCGAAAATGAATTCATTTCCCCGGTTGCAGAGGGCCCGGTTACAGTGACGATCGAACATCCCCATACTGCATAAATACTGTTACCTCAAACTTACCGAGCCCCGGTATTTTTCCAGGGATACTAACTTGCCCCTGATGTTCACAACTTTAAAAGTATAAAAGTCTTTCTCTTTGGTCTCAATGAGGCTGAAGATAGTTAGCAACACGGCGAGTGCAGCTGGAAGCATCATTACAGTCAAACTGCCAACGCAACAGAGCGGTTCGTGTCGTACGGGGCGGGTCGGCAGGTCAAGTTGCAGGTGGGCACGACAGCACCACCCGGAACAGGAGTACATTACAAAATAAAAGCCGACGTTAAGCATCCGAGTTAAAAGATGCTGGTCTCTGATTTATTATAACCGTCCATTTTGTAGTTCTAGTGCAGCAGCTTGCACACAAGGAGGTGTTGTTTTATACAACTTGGTACCTGGTAAGGCCTCCATCTTGATTTACTGAGGAGCCCTCTTCTGAAACTCCCTACATTCCGAATGTAGTAATAAATCAATAATAAAATAAAGTAATAAAAACCCTCTCCGTTATGATAAGAATACACTTTCTCATAAGGCTTGCTGCTCCTTGTTGTCTGACATCCTTCTAAGCGTTGTAATTTAGACATAGACGTTGAATACATTTATACATTTCCGTGGCCTAGGGTTTCCTTGAGTAACATTCACACTGCATGGCATTTCGTCCAAGTCAAATCTATCGATTTGCATTTTAATTGACTTTTTAGACAAAGGGAAATTGTTTAGAAGAGGGTTAACAGTATTGTTTAGTACAGTTTTTCCTGTTTATACTCGAAAAAATCCCAAATTACGGACTAGATCATACAACAATATTGTGTGATTTTTCCTTAAAATGCATTCAGTTGTTCACTGATTGCATACTAAGAAATACAGTTAAAAACATTTTACACACTTGTCCTGTGTACCATGTTCATCAACTTTCATCAACTTTTATTTCAGATTCAGGGTCCAGATAGCACAAAACAGCAAACACACTCCCCAGTCACAAATATGTCACTGGCACTACACCATCTCGGCCTCTAGCAATATTAGTAATATACGCATGTCATCATTATAAGCCACTTGGAGTGGCATGTTATTGCAGGCTACTTTTGCGACGTAAATATTTTGAGCAAAGAAAGAAAGACATATTAATACACAGTGGGGCTACGACTGTTTTTTCCCTGCAGGGTCAGGAAATCATTTCCGACTGGTCTTGAACGCAGCACACTTCACGCCCCTCTTCATCATCACTGACACTCCCACAATGCAGCGGGGCAGTGCATTAACATGGCGTCAATGGTTGCTTATTTGACCAGGGCCGTGGAACTTGATACGAACAGCACTATGGGAACAGCTAAACAATAAGCCGAAATCAACTTTAGAAGCCGGAAGTAAGTTCGTATGCACTCATCTTTGTTGTTGCGGTCGAAGTCACGTTTTCCTGTTTTTAATGACTCGCTGCTGAATGCCAACTGGGTGCCCGTGTTATTTATTTGCCGCTAGCTAGCTCGGGCGCAGGACAGTGGGGCACAGCAGCTAACGTTAGTTAGCCTACAAAGACCTCAATGTTTTCCATAACACAGGTGTGACGTATTCGTGTTACTGGGTCGAGGGTACGTGCCTTCTCGTTGTAGTTCTGTCTTTTTTAAAGTGGGGCTAACACGGTTCCAGCGCCGTGTCGAGGTGCGCTGCCCCGTCAGTTTCGTTTTCTGCTGAACTCACGGCAACGACGCCTGAAACAAAAGTCAGTGAAGCGCGGGATGCGGAACTGCGACCCGACAACACGGGAGGCGCGTGTGTGTGTGTGTGTGCGTGTGTGTGCGCGTGCGTGCGCGCGCGTGTGCGGCGATACGGAATCACTCCTCATTGATCACACAGTAATGGATCGTTTGATTTTTAGTTTGTTGCAATCTGAGTATACAAAGTCATTAGCACATTTGCACAACACATTTTTTTAATTTAAAAGTAAACTTTCCCCCCCAAAGGCAGTGAAGTAGTTTGATCAATTTATATACCCAAGTAAAATTCAAGAGCCTCACAATTGTACTTTAGGACCATACTTGAGAAAATGTTGTTAAATAATGAATTGAATTGTTAGTTTCAATCATATGACTTGATAGAATTGTATCATGTTAGACATGTGCTCACAATATTCTAAACTAATAAATATGAAATATGTTTTTGTGTGTGAATTGATCAAGGAAATTACCCTCAGTGCTTCTTGCGAATTCACACTAGATCTTTAGGACTGATCTTGAAGATCTTGACAACCTACACAAGAAAAGGAATGAATTTCCTTAAAAGTCAATTCACACAACTTAATGTCCAAAATGTAGAAAGCCACGTTACAGCATTCAGAACTAATGCTCTTTTAGTTCACCATAGTATTTGTGCTGTAAGAACTCAATTTTCCCTTTCTTCATATGACTTTAGAAGGATTGTAGATTTGTACATGTTGTAAGAAGACTCATGCCATGTAAGTTAAATGCAAAGTATGTTAGATTGTTTGGCTTCATTTTAACTGGTGAAACCATGGACGTAGCAGGCTATCACAATGTTGCGTAACTTTGTAGTTCGATTGATTTGCTGTGATATTTTATTGCCTAAACTAGGTGGTCAGCCTCCCCGATCATCCTCATTGTGTTTTTGACTCCTGCAGGGACAACAAGAGCAGAACAGGGATGGATGAATCCAAAAGTCCAGTCAAGCAGTCTCAACCCAGAGGACCCAAAGTTTTGTCCAGTGAGAAGTCAAATGTAAAGGCTCCAGCGCAGAGAGATGGTACCAAGTCTGCAAACCACCATAACATCACTGCTGCGAAGGATGGCCATTATAGTCACGGGAGCTGCGAGCCAGGCAAGACTTTAGCGGACATCCCCCAGGACAGGAGGAGAGGGCGGCCCTCCAGGATCACTAGACAAACTGGAAGAACGAGTTCTGGGGAGAAGGGGAAAGGAAAGGTGGCGAGCTCACAACAGAAGCCGGTGGCGCAGGATCCCGACACCACAGTGTCTATTTCTGCAGACAGCACCTCCTCAGCAAACAGAGAGACCAGCTCTCCTGTAGCGCCAGGGACACCGGAGAAAGGCCACACAGAGCTCCATTGTAGCTCCATTGTAGTTCAGACTAAGGAAAATTCACATGGTGAGTTTGCGCTCCCCCTCCCAAAATGTCTTTTTCTCCAAGTATATCTCTGGTAAAAGGCTTTGTGGCTGTTGCTCGTAGGGGTGAAGCGGGCTGCATTGATGCAGCAGGCCGTTGAAGAGGTGAGGCCCACGGGGAATGATGGGCCGCTGACGGAGCAACAGTTGGGCCTCCGGCAGGCAGAGGAGCGCCTCTACAGAGACTACATCCACCGACTGCTGAAAGTAAGACAACAATGCCCCCATGTAAAGAAATGTGTGGCTCAGCACATCCTGGCCGCTGCATTATGGATTCAGTCGCCATGCAGCCGCAATAGATGCTTGATGGGTTGATAAATAATGTGGGTGAACAGTTAGATAAATGAAAACCCAGTCCATAGTGCCATACCCAGCTTGTTTTTCTACTCAACAGGTAGTATGAGCAGGGGGGGGTTATTATGATTACAATCGTGTGGGCTCAAATTTTCCAACTGAAAAACTGCGAGGGAACATTCATGAACTGACTGCTCTTGCTTCTCTTCCTGTTTTTACAGCACTCCCCTGACTACCCAAACTACCAATACTTATGCAAGCTTTGTTCTGTGCACATTGAGAACATTCAAGGAGCACACAAACACATCAAGGAGAAGAGACACAAGAAGAACATTATGGTATGGCAACTTTTAAGTCTGTTTTGCCACTTATCCAGGACTCGCGATGAGCAATCTGAATTTGTGTAAATTGAGAAATTAGGATAAAGTATTTCACTCACCGCGGGTCTGGTGTTTCAGGAGAAACAGGAGGAGAACGAGCTGCGTGCGCTGCCGCCCGCCTCTGCCGCCCAGCTGAAGGCCGTGGACGAGGCCGTCCTGGACACTGCGAGGCAGCACGGGATCTCAGAGGAGGACTTTGAGGTTCGGAAAGCCGTGGTCATCAAGATGGAAGAGATCATAAAGAGGCACCTCTCAGGTTGTATGCCGGGATGTCACTGAGCCTGGTCAAAATTTTCTGCAGCAAGTCGTGTTAAAGAAAAAGGAACCGCTTTGAGAAAATATTAGAATTTTTAATTGAGCTTTTGGAAAAAAACAGATGAGACACAAACTGTTATTCTTAACAAGATATTTTTTATTGTTATAAAAACGGGACAATTGCAACAAGTACATTATATTTATTTATATATATATATATATATATATATATATATATATGAGGATTAACATTATATACTCCTTCTCCACTGGGATATGGAGTTTAATGTGAAACGTCCTCTATTTGTGCTAAAGAAAAGGGCTGATATCCTGGAGAAATTTGCCTTATTTTGCTAAAGGAAAACCTTTCCCTTCCATTCTTTCACTTTATTTCATGGAATCCTCGCTTATTTTCATTGCCATGGAAATTTGACCTTGCTGGTCCTCAGGGTCCAGTTTCATTATTTGTTAATCCTTCTTAGCGTGACATGTACTGTATTTTACAATATCTTTTCTATGTATTTCCAGCTTGTGCTCTCCGTCTTTATGGTTCATGTCTTACCCGATTTGCCTTTAAGACGAGTGATATCAACATCGATGTCACCCACCCCCCCTCAGTAAGTTGATCTTTCTGTGCAACAGCAATGTGATATGTATTTTCAATAACAACGTGAAGAGGACATTATAAATCAGCAGGGACATTTGGTCTTACAGTTGACGATTCTCTCATTCCTTGCTTCCTTTCAGATGACACAACCTGAGGTCCTGATACAAGTGCTGGAAATTCTTAAAAAAAGCCGTAAGTGTCGCTCCAGATATCTTCAATTTATTTTGTGTTGACGTGGTGAATTGTTATTCGGCAGCGGCGGCTCTAAAAGACATTTTTTTTTTTTTATCTCCGAATTAAACCACACCCTAACCCTTGGAAAAAATGATTCCCTGACAAAAAAAACGTTGTAAATAAGAGCACCATATCTTTCTTTTTGTTAGCGCATGGTGCCATGTTGATATTCGCTATTGTCTGAAGAGATCTTGCATGCTAACTATGAACTACAATTAATTAATCAATACGATTGCCCTACTCTTAAGAAGCATTTACTCACTTGTTCGTAGGGAATCCGGGACTTTGCCTTGTCGGTTCTTATGTCTGATAGCACTCAGAATTTAGACTAAGGAGCACATTCATTTTAAGTGAATGTTTGTCCTTATGACCTCCATTAAGTGGCGTGGATGGTTGACGCTACAGTGTTATGTAAAAGTCCTGCAATGAATTTGAGTTTGTGCAACTCTTCCCACTGTCAATTAAGGCTTTTCTTCTGTCTCTCTTCTATAGCTGAATTTTCTGAGGTCGAGTCAGATTTTCATGCCAAAGTTCCTGCAGTGTTCTGTCGGGATGTTAGCAAGTGAGTGTATCATCAAATGCATTGATGCAGGTTTTTGTTGTCTACATAAATATCGTATTAATTTTTGTCTACTTAAATATCTCCATCTATATTTAGTAAAGATTGAGTTGACTCAACAGTTTACATACATTTATGCAGCTGTTTTATTTACAATAGGGGAAAAAGGAAATGGAATAAAACAGGGAAAAGTAGATGAAAATACCCACCATAGTAATAATATATTCTTAAAATCAGTATCTTGTAGCATGTGTACATACGTAAATAAACACTGCACCACCTTTAGATGGTCTGCGTCATCTTCTTCTAGGTTCTTTTCTAAATCAGTAGTTGAGATTTGTATTATTTAGTTCAAATCTTCAATAAATTCTTTATTTATTTAATGTTATATGTTTCACTTTTTGTTTTGACTTGACATTAATGTCTAGAGGAAATACATCTTCATCATTGCAACATGGTGCCTTTTTAGATTGTGTCATTGCACTCAGTTATGTTATATAATGTAATTTCAGTGTACTTGTATAACACATTGTTACAGTATATTATCTTCTCCCTTTTACTTGTGACGCTTGCGGTTCCAGCACTGTGTTACAGTCTGGCACCACGTTGATGCCTTCAAAAGAATATTTTTTGTTTTGCATAGTTGTGTCTTTCATATGAACCCGTTTTCATTTTATCCCTCAACGACCCGTCGCAGCAGTTAGACGGAAGTTTTGTTCAATGTCCATTTAAGAATTTGAGCCAACTTTTCATCACGTTCTTCCCTCACTTCTGTGCAGCGGCCTGATGTGTAAAGTGAGTGCAGGTAACGACGTTGCTTGTCTCACCACCAATCATCTGGCAGCCCTGTCTAAACTGGAACCTAGATTGATCCCACTGGTGCTGGCCTTCCGATACTGGGCGAGGGTAAGGCTGTGACCAACACTCTTTCAGCATACTGCCTGATGGGTTCGGTTGTATTTATTATGCAGGTTCCTTTTACATTTCAGCATATATATATATATATATATATATATATGTCCGATTGTGAAATGGATTAGGGCTAAAAAGCGGACTAAAGCATCCTCCCCTGCCCCGTATGTTTATCTCCACAGCTGTGTCACATCGACTGCCAGGCTGAGGGGGGCATCCCCTCGTACTCCTTAGCCCTCATGGTCATCTTCTTCCTGCAGCAGAGGAAGGAGCCGGTACTCCCCGTCTACCTGGGCCACTGGGTACGTGAAGTGTTGGCTCTTTTATGTCTTACTCAACGTTTCCACTCTGAGAAGAAAATGTCATCTATTCGTTTATGCTGTCCTGCCTATCCTCTAATTATCTGATTTAACATAAAATGAATAGATATGGAAAAACGGCGTTGAAAAGTATATATTGGCTCCTTTTAAAATATAAACACAAGTTGTTATACTGCAACGTAGACTGTTTCTGCCCATTTAATGGAATTCACAGGATGATCCACATTCTAAGTGTGTGTGTGTGACACAGTTCAGGTCTGTATTAAAAAACACAAGTTGAACACAAGTTCGAGAGAATGTGTTATTGTGGCACACTTTTTCTGATTTCTGTCAGAGAAGAGAATATGTTGTATTGTAGTCTTTAATGCCACAGACTATTCTGGAAAAGTAATTTTATGTACCTACACCGAACTGCCTTCTACAATGCACCTTTTTAAAGTAGGTGAAGTTCTCTCAGAAACACTGTTCACACGTAGATCAGCATCTCTCATCTTTTTGTTTTAACGTTTGTTTTCTTCGTTCTCAGATTGAAGGCTTCGATGTGAAACGCGTGGACGAGTATCACCTAACTGGAATATCGCTAGACATCTTTGTTCGTTGGGAGCGCAGACTCGCAAGCTCCACAGACAACCGGAACGAAGCCAGGGGAGAAGGCAGAGCCAAGCCGGAGCAGAAAAAAATCCCTGACCATCATTACTCCGAAGGCATTGTGAGTCTCCCTGCAGTACACAATCATGTCGTACGAGATCGTACCTTCATGGAGGGCACTGTGGGTACTCTTGCTGTGTCACCCTGCTTTCTAGCATGACTCTCTTATTGTCCCTAAAAGACCCGGCTAACGTTGGACCTGTGCAGAGGTGTGTCGCCGGGCCAGTTGTGGTTGGAGCTCCTGCGTTTCTACACCTTAGAGTTTGCTCTGGAAGAACACATCATCAGCATCCGCCTGAAGGAGCTCCTCTCTAGAGAAGGGAAGAACTGGCCCCGCCGCAGGCTCGCTATTGAAGGTGAGAGACTACGCTGATCTTAAAAAGAACATGGTCTGACTGTTCTGTTGAAATATAAAAAAATGTACTCTGTGTCTTTGTGAATCCTTTGTTTTAGATCCTTTTGCCTTGAAGAGGAACGTTGCGCGCAGCCTGAACAGCCAAATGGTGTTTGAGTACATCCACGAGCGCCTGCGTTCGGCTTACAAATACTTTGCGTCCCCTCAGAGGAGAAGCTCTGTGACGCGCCGGGGATACAAAAAGGCCGACAACCAGGGTAAAACATTGGAAGAGCTTGAGAAAGAGGAGGAGGACGGAAAAGGCTGTGCTTCTCAGGGGGAGCTGCACAAATTTAAGGAGGATGAGAAACCTGACCGTGATGACGACGATGGATCAGATCCGTCCAGAAAAAGTAATGAGGAGACTTTGAATGCAAGTCTCATGGACATGGTTCTCCGTGAGAGGGTCCAACCAGCCCTCCGCCCCAACGGCCTGCCAGACAGTGACATGGAGGAAGAGGAGGAGAAGGATGAAGAGGCGGAGGGAAGCAATGTTTCGGATGCGGACGGCCTTGTTTCGTCAGAAGATCTTCACTATGTGTTTGATAAGATGATCTTCACTAATGGGAAGGTAATTATCACAATTCACCATTTTGTAATCCAGTATACAATAACAAAGCATTTGTTGGTGTTATTTGAGTATAAATTAACATCAATTTCAATTTTTTTTTCTGGTAAAATGTCTTAACCCTCAATTATTTATGTAGTATTATTTAATATCTCTACTGTCTGTGGTGGGGGTATTTTGGAAAAAAATAAGTTTGGGGGAAAAAAAACGTAAATTGTAGATTTCAACCTTTCCCACATTTATAACTGCAGTTTAGGAGCAGCATCATCCTGTCAGCATTGATGGGTTCGTGTCACTTAGGTGAGATGTTTACATTTAGGGAGGGTCTTTTTTGTATTATTGACACATGATGAAATGGTCTATTTATATTCATATTGGCTTCGGGCATAACATTTCCCACACAAATGTTTGGTCAGATTGCTGTTTTATCAGTGTGTGCCGTTGTCATGCCCTCACTTTCCGTTGTAAATTTATCACCTGTTGAATTTGTCGTTCCAGCCCCCAACCGTTGTGTGTAGCATCTGCAAGCGAGATGGTCACCTGAAGGACGAGTGCCCCGAAGACTTCAAGAAGATCGAGCTGAAGCCTCTGCCTCCCATGAACGACCGCTTCAGAGACATCCTCGACGGGCTCTGCAAATTGTGCTTCTGTATGTAGTCAAGTCTGCGTTTTCTTTCCCTTCATTCTTTTTGTGTGTGTGAGATAGAGGCACTGGTGCATAGAAAAAGACAAGGATGTCAAATCTGCCTGTATTATGATTGTTATATTCAGCAAACTTATATAAATAAAATAAAACTATTTATATGTGTTTCCCCTACCATTAATAGTGCTTTGATTCAGTATTTCCATTTACCAGTTTAATATGCAACTTATTTTTTTAGATCAAATGATTAGATGTGTCTCTGTTCTTCTTGTTTCTAGATGAATTGTCACCTACACATGCTGAGCAGCAAAAGAGGGAGCAGATTCTTTGCGGCCTGGAAAGATTCATAAGAAAAGAGTACAATGGTGAGCAGCACCATGCGTGAGCTACTCGACAACCAAGTTCAAAATTGACCAAATGTATTCAAAACTAGGCCTTTTTTTTTAATGGCTGCCATTTTTCGGTTTTATTGATATTTGATTTGAAACCTAATGCTCTGTTCATCTCAAGTTAAAAGGTCTTCGAGCTGTAAAAAAAAAAGACATTACATCTTCCCCGGAAGTTATTGTAATTCTGGATTCTCAATAACAACTTCACGGCAGGAATTTTGTTTAAGTTTAGTCAATCACAGTGAATAAAACAGTATTTCTGTTTTATACACAACTTTTTTTCCTGTTTTAGGAATGATGCAGAGGTTCTATTCTACATCTGCATACAAATGATTTTCTCTTCTTCTGCTTGAATCCACAGATAAAGCTCAACTCTGCTTGTTTGGGTCCTCCAAGAATGGCTTTGGCTTCCGTGACAGTGACCTCGACATTTGCATGACTCTGGAGGGCCATGAGACTGCTGAGGTAGGCGCAAGAAACACAGACAACTAATGTAACTCTCTTTTCCTGATTGGGAGAAGAGATGTGACCCGTATACTCTTCCACTGTTGCATATTATGTCTTGATCTGTTATGAACAGAAGCTGAACTGCAAGGAGATCATTGAAGTCCTCGCAAAAGTACTGAAGAAGCATACAGGTGAATTAGCATGTGCTAATTATCTCTTTAGAACTAGTTCTGTGTGTCAAGGACTGAAACTGACTAGTTGTGATCGCTCATTTTCCCAATATCACAGGTTTGAGGAACATCCTGCCCATCACAACAGCTAAAGTGCCTATCGTGAAGTTTGAACACAGACAGAGTGGTTTGGAGGGAGATATTAGCCTTTATAATACTCTGGTGAGTAAACCTGAACCTTTCTTAACCCTTATGTAAGGTGCTCAGACATGTCCCTATTTATTGAAAGTGCTGTATGAATTAACTTGGATGGGTTATCTGTTCAGGCTCAACATAACACCAGAATGCTGGCTACATATGCAGCCCTGGATCCACGTGTGCAATTCCTGGGATACACAATGAAGGTCTTTGCAAAGGTATGTCTGCATCTGGGTTAGGGCTGGGCGGTGTACCGGTGCAAGATTTCCGTACTGTTCATACCGGTGTTAGGCTATAACATCTGACGTTGACGTTTATGTTTACACGTCATCGAGGAGCGTGCAGCGGTCGGAGCTACTTGTCTTACGTGTGTTGACATTGAGTCATGGTTATAACTTTATAACAACAATGAATAACTCACAACAAACCCTCTTTTAGCAGGGTAAACCACCAGTATAATATGTTTGAAAGGTCAGATCTAATTCGCAAGGTAACCAGCATTTCAATCGAATGATTCATGTCTATTTAGTAACACTCGTAGCACGGGACAGCGTGACCTCTGACCAGCCTTCAGCGATTCTTCAAATTGGCAGCAAAGCAGTGCTTCTCAGCCTGCCGTTATGTTACGGTTAAAGAGAAGCTTTTGCAAAAAATGTTTGTTTTCTGATGCCTCCTTACAACGAACGTCTCTTCGCGCTGCAGCGCTGCGACATTGGGGATGCGTCCAGAGGAAGCCTCTCATCTTATGCCTACATCTTGATGGTGCTTTACTTCCTGCAGCAAAGGCAGCCCCCAGTCGTTCCAGTCTTACAGGAGGTACCATTCACTCCCTCATGGGAAATTAACAGAATTTGAAACCTAAAAGTTTTAGCCTTGACGAAAATATGATGAATGTTTTTTGTTTTTGTTTTCAGATATTTGATGGGAGTGCTGTCCCCCAGCGGATGGTAGATGGCTGGAATGCTTTCTTTTGTGATGACCTTGAGGATCTGGCGAGTTAAAAATATATAATCACTTTTCAGGATGACCTTTTTATTTGCGATCTTATTGCGTTAAATGCAATTATCCTTCACAAAGCCTCTGCTCTTTCAGAATTAAATATAAATAGATCTAAGTGTGTTTCTACTGTCTACACAGCGTCGGCATCTCTCAAAGCTGCAGCCGAACCTGGAGTCCGTGGGGGAGCTGTGGTTGGGGCTCCTGCGCTTTTACACTGAAGAGTTTGACTTCAAAGAGCACGTCATCAGCATCCGCCAAAGAAAACGCCTGACCACCTTCGAGAAGCAGTGGACCAGTAAATGCATCGCTATTGAAGGTGCCTCCACGGATCTGTTGCTGTGTGGAGATCTAATTATTAACGGGACGGATAGTTTTCTTTCCCAATCTTCTTTTAAAACCATTGTTTCAAGTCATTTTTTGACTTTATTATACAGATGTTATTGTAAAGACCTGCCCAAATTCAACCTTAGTTATCCGGCATGCGCTGTAACCATTTGGCTACTAAGGCACCCTGTTCTTCTCCTCAGATCCCTTTGATTTGAATCATAATCTTGGTGCTGGAGTTTCTCGCAAAAGTAAGTGCCTTATCCTATCATGTTTTTTTTCTTGGTCAAATGTTTTTTTCTTTTCTATTTCTTTTTTTTTTATTAAAGATGTTCTGATCTCTGGCAAATGCTCTTTTTCTGCTTTCATAGTGACAAACTTCATCATGAAGGCCTTTATAAACGGGAGAAAGTTGTTTGGGACTCCGTTCTGCCCGTTACAGGGAACCGAAGTGGTGCGTCACTCGCCAAGCAACCTTTCAACAAACAAACCACTTGACTCCGGTCGGCTTTGCTTCCCGAGGGAACTGCCTAACATGAACGCCGTTTCCTTTGTGCTGTCCTGCAGGACTACTTCTTTGACTCCAAGGTGTTGACGGATGGGGAGTTGGCGCCCAATGACCGGTGCTGCAGAATTTGCGGGAAGATTGGACACTACATGAAGGACTGTCCAAAAAGACGCAGGTTGTCCTCCCTTTCCTCAATTAAATGTTTGTTGTTCCAATAGAATTCCAACACTAAGAGAAAACCAATGAGAAGTGATAAATATTTTATGCAACTATTTTCCGTTATCAAATTCTCTCTCCTTCTAAAGAATGAGTGTTTTAATTTCCTGGCATACAGTAACTATGAACTTCAACTTGAAATCCACTAAACCTGAAGCTTCCTATACTTAGTATAATAGAGCAAATACTATTTGGATTAAGTTCATACTTTTCTCAGTGATATCAGCTCAAATCCACTTTGCCGATTTTTATTAGATCCCGTACCAATGTCATTTTTATTATTGTGTGTATCTTATTCCCTTGTTGTGCTCTGATCGTTGTCGTCTGCCAGAATCAAGAAGAAGGAAAACGACAAAGACGAGGACACAAAAGAAGAGGAGCGTGAGCCGAAGGACAGGCGTTGTTTTCAGTGTGGGGACATGGGACACGTAAGGAGAGACTGTCCCGAGTATCGTCACCTCAAACAGAGGACCACCGGAGCCCCAGGTATCCGCACTGTTTAGACACTCTGAAGACGAGCTCAAAAACTATTGAGGGGGGACTTTTCCTAACCAAGATCAACTATACTGACCATACAGACTTTTTAGGGGGGGAAATAAACACTTCTTATTCTTCCCAGCTCCTCACATGGTACGAACTGTATTGAGCTCCCAGTCCATCCCGATTCCCCAGACAGCTGCAGACGGTCCCGGAAGGACCAGGCAGCCCTCTGAATGTGTGAGTACGACCACGAGACATTACACAAATAAAATATCAGGTATATCTAGAGAACTTGTAAGGAAGAGAATCAATGCTTTTGGGGCCACAGAATTGAATAATAACGCTGGTCCACAATTATTTATTGAAATGTGGGAAATTCAAATGATACTGATACTTTCCCTGTTGTTTTCTGTAATTATTTTTCTTTCTTCCTGTCAATAGTCCGATAGTCTGCAGACTCCGCCCTACTCCCCACAGTCCACAACTGCTCCTCCGAGTTCCTCAAAGATCTCCAGTTCCCCTCAGCCCTCCCACATTAAGACCAGTCCAGCTGGTGCCACAAAGCAGCCTGTTCAAACCCACGTCCCCCTGTCTCTATTCAGCTTCCCCACCTCCCGTCCAGGCCAGTACCACCCAGCAGCGGCGCTCGGCGCACTCGGGTTCCTTCCCTCTCACCAGCACCAGTCACGTCAGGCCCAGGGGCCGCCTCATCACCCGGTCCACGTCCCTTCCACGGCCTGGCCCATACACGGACCCGTCCTCACCGCGTCCTCTCCCAAAGGCCCCTCCCCGCCAGGCCTAAGGTTCGCCGTGCGTTCGGCGACGGGGAACGGGAGTCCCACGGGTTCAGGGGGCAGCTCTAGCCCCATGAACCTGAACGACCCCAGCATCATATTCGCCCAGCCGGCGGGGAGACAGCTGGGCATCGGGCCTGGCCGGGAAGGACACTGGCACAACCATTTGGCACAGACTGGGTCACTCATGGGAAATGGCACCGTGGTCAAGTCAGGTATTCACTGGGTGAACTTTGGTGGCACCGTCTGTGTGTGGTTCTGTCTTTTTGTCTTCCTGTGTCGTTTTCTTTAAATACAGATAAGCTTCTCATATTCACAATCTTCCTTCTAGTATCTGATTTTGCCCCCAGCATATAATATGAATTGTAGCAGTAGTTTTGTATGCTACATGGTCCTCTTAACTACTACGTGACCTCATGCTTACTCCAATCTAGGCCACGCCCCCCTTTCAAGACAGACAGACATCGCATTTTGGCAGAACTTTGGGCAGTTCTGACTTCTGAGTTCTGACTTCATTTTTTAAACGAGCAATATTTACCATCTCCTGTTGTCATCTTGAATGACTATATTTAACAGCTTCCACTTTATATCCGTTATGCCAACTGTAGTGAAATACATTACTCTCGTTTGCAGATGTAAGAGAGATTGAGCATGAGACAGATGGGAGGTAGGTCACATAAACACATGAGTCAACCTCGATCATTTCCAATGCTGTGAAAAAGTCCTTCTTTAGGATGTTGGTAACGGTTCATAGCTTCACCGGTGAAGGAGCACGGGTTGGTTTATACAAACTGGGAAATTATTGAACATTCGTTTATTGAGTGTGTTTGGATTTTGTCTCCAGAGTCGAGCCACTTGGCCCAGTTTGGAGGAGTAACCCAGGGCTCTCGGTTATGGGATCACAATAAAACCCCACAGTACGCCCTGCCTCCATCTTGGCCCTACCGGATGCCTCAGAACTTTATCCAGCAGGGCAACGGCGGCTACCCGCCAGGAAAACCCCTTGTGGCTCAAGGTCAGACATGGCATATATTTATTTTATTTCCACTGGCAAGAATAGAGGATTTAACGTTCTCCTTTTTTATGGTCTTTTTCTTTCACCAGGGCCTGTGGTGCAGCCCAATCCAAACTTCCCGCTGCTCCCTCACGTCCGACATCCAGTGAATTTGAATTTCATCCAACAGAAGAAATGAACTTGCATCTCACTTTTAATTCGTATCCTGGTCCGTAACATAGCAAAGCAAAATTCTTTACTCTTTGCATCGTTTGATCACAAGAGTTTTTTTAATGACTTTTTTTTCATTTTTGTACAGTTTTGTCTCATTACATTGATTTGTGATACAAATGTAAAATATATTAATACCCCTATTTTTGAGGGGGTCCAAAAAAGTGTTTTTATTTCACGTGTAAAGTAAGGAGGACAAATACAAACCTTTATTTTTATTAGCTGTATTCATACTTTGCTTGCCACAAGAAGAAGTCTTTGAATAGAAGTTTGTTTTTAAAACAATCTAACATGCCCCCCTAAGTATGTAGTGCCAAAAGCAGGGATAGCAAGAAAAAAGGGAAAAAATAAAGGAAAAAAAAAAGTGTACAGTGTCGTCTGGGTTCATCTCTTCAGTGTCATGCTAGTGTGCACTAATCTCCTGGATACTGTGTGTTTTTAAACACAATGACTTAGCCAGATCTTATAAGTGTACACAGGAAGGTTATATTTGAACCTGTCTATTTGTTTGATGCCGTCCATTGTGATGAACAGGAACCGTCTCGCAGTGGGATGATACATGAGTGTCTAGGAGCGGTTAACCCTGTGAGTTTTTCCCTCCAATTAAATAAATGAAGGTTGGAATTTGAAGGTCTTACCGGCAGTATGCTCGTCTCAACCTGTACAGCTCTGACACTCATCCGCGCTTACTGCCATTTTACGTCTCCTTTCTTGCATGGACGTGGCTCTCTGGCTAAGCAGGAAGAGGATGATGCCGCCCTAGCTTTTATTGATTGATTGGAATCCCTGAACAAAATCGGATGTGAAATGTGATTTTAGAGGTCTGGAATCACATCATCATGTTTAACCAATTGAATATAGCTGATCGCTCCCTGGATTGGGACTGAATTGGGAATTAGATTTTCACCCAAAGTCTTTTGGGTTGGTTTTATTGGCTTCTCATTTGTTACCTATGACAATTTTAATGTAATGAAGTTGTCTTGGAAGCTTTATTTGTGAGGTTGCATTTCCCAGGAGGACCTGACTTTTATCTCTGATAGCTCAGCTGCTTTGGGGGAGGTAGGATCTAAAGTGATCACCAGAGGGCGCCGTCTCAGAGGAAGCAGAAGCACAAATACCAGCAGTGGAGGGAAGTCCTGATGAGGATCATGGTCAATTAATACAATATTTAATATGTTCTTAAAATGAATTTCCACTATATTCAATTGCATAAATTAATGATGTTTAACAATATATTCCAATAAGTCTATATGGAATGAAATAGTTACTGTTTTGGTGTGTTCACCTGGACTGGAAATGCCGATACAAGTCTTAGATCAAGTGTTTGTAAATTGGATCCCACTTAACAGGTAAATCCCTTAGCCGTTTGTGTGCGGCACATGTTTAGTGAATATTAAAAATGTAATTTATTGAGTGTCCTCGAGTTTAGGTGAAAGAAAGTAATCACATTAGCTTACTTTACAGATTGCGTTGGAAGTATTGGTAAGAATCCAGAAGAGATGGATAAAATAAACATCAAAAAGTTGATTTAGATACAACATACCCCTCAAATAAATGCATTAAAACAAAATACAATACATGTTTTTTTGTATCTAAAATATAGGAAATCTCTGGAAGAGCAGAGCATTCAGGTTTGGACTTTAGTGTACAATGTAAAGCTCTCACAAAAAGGAAGAACAGTCACATGTTAGTGGTGCTAAGCAACTTGATAAATACAAAAAATAAATATATATATTAATATAGCTGTACATGGAGGAGGAGATCTGCACTCCCCTGTGTCCACTGCTCTACTTTTAATGCCAGTATTGTGTTGTTTTCTGTTTGTTACGCCACACCTGTTCTTGTTGAATGGACGTCACTGCCTATCCCTATTTTACGAAGAATAGGTCATTAAAAATGGAACAACATGTTATTCATCAACAGGTGGAAAGATTCATCCATTCACACACCTTTTGTATGTTGCCTTGCTCATTACATTCTTCTGTATTTCCACGTGGCCGAGCCTCTCAGAGGTGGCTGGGAGGGTGAGTGGGACGATCTGTACATGCATGATGCCTGTGACCTTTGACCTTTTATGTACTTCTTTTTTGCAGCCAGTGCTGTTTACAGGTATTTGTACTACTCCCTATTGACGACACACACACACACACAACCGATCAGGTATGTAAAATGCTCCTGTGATGTCACACACTTTACCCTCACTGATTTTTGGTTAACATGAATATTTTGCAGTAGTCTGTTGAAGGCCGCATTTGTTTGAAACAATAAACTATCAATAAGAAACTGGAGTTTTCATGGTTTATTTCACGCCTTAATACAAAGCAAGCAGCAAGCGTGGTGGCTTTCTTTTGGAAGGCAAAGGGAAGATGTATGACTATCCTGAAGATGTAACTATACCGCCCCCCTCTGCTTTAACAGGGTCATGGCGATCCAATTGTTCATATTTGCCAAATCCTTGAACATGTGTTTTCAGTATGTCTACTGTGTTTACACTCACACTATGTGCAGGTAATTTCTTCCTTACTTGAGAATGAATATTTTTCACAGACTTTACATTTCAACATCAACTACATTCATCTCATAGTTGCTTGTAATTCTTTCCACCTTTTACTTTTGGTGCCGTCAGTGCAGCTGAGAGTGAGTCGTCTCACGATGTCACCATGTTAAAGGCTGTGCAGAGGTTACAGAAGTCTCAGATCTTCAACCTTAAAACAACTTTTATCTTGTTTGTATTTATTCATTATTCGGATTTTGTTTTGTTTACTTATTAGTTTACAAGCCCTTTTTACTTCAGTTTATCATCACCTTTATACCTAGTCGATCATCATCATATTAATTCAATTGTGCTTAATTCAATTAGTTGAATCTACTCTAAAAACAGTTAAAGAATCAAGGGGCTTCAAAATAATACAATCAAAATACACTGCAAGTAATATTGATTCTGTGACAAATACGAATTGGCATATTTAAAGGATGTTGTCAGTTAACAAAACTGCTGGATAACTAAACAAAAGCACCAATTAAACATTGACTAAATGCATACTTAAAGGGTTGACACTCAACATTTGACTCTCCTGAGTCCACATTCAGAGTCTTGAATCCGAACGTCCGCACATCTTAGCACACAATCTTCTGCTCCTCCAGGAACCGCTGGACTTATTTGGTGCCTCTGATCTTGACAACAAGTCTAGAGATTGAAGTAGCTCCAGATGTGTTTTTCCGGGCCACAACACACACACACATTCACTTGTAATTCATGACGGTGTTTTGTATTTCAGTTTCGTGGCATTGTAAGAAATGTGTGGACTCAAGAAAGTCAGAGGAGACCAGCAGGTAAAGGTGAATCCAAATGCCAGATGAAGACAAATGATATTCATTTTACGAACTATTGTTGTTTATTTCCTTAGCGTGACTATTATGTTCAAGTGTCTACGCACTACCAGTGATCAAATAGAGTCATTTTTTATCGGGAGGTTATAGATTCAAAAGGATATCATACTCCTAAAATAAATAAATAAAACCTCCTAAAATAAATGTCCAAATTCAGGCAGTAAAGCCAGTTTAATGTCTGAAAACATTGTTTGTTGTAATTCTGTTGAATTGACAAGCAATAAATCAAATAAATCAAAATCAAGTGCAATGAATTGTGTCTTTGGTTGTCATAGCGACAGACACACCGTTATAAAAATGTCGTTTTGCAGAAAGAACGGACAGGTTACTCTGCCCATACAGTCGTTACACGCCAACGTAGTCTTCAACAAGCTGCTAGCTCAACCGCTCTTTCAGGGTTGGAAGATTAATAAAATCCCTCGCTGGTTTCTCCAGTTTTGCCTTCCCAAGCTTTATACCAAGACAAGGACATTTTCCAAATTAGAAATCAAACCTGCTAGTGGTGCAGAGTAGTTGTACATCGTTATTCTCAAGGGATATATTCATGCAAACACATCAAGTTGGTCAGATATCTCAATCAGGATAAAAGTGGAGCAAGAATTAAAATAAAATATTTGTACTTGACTACAACCCTATTTATTTTAGTTCATCTCCAGTTTTATGTAAAGTCACCAAAGTCACTCATAATCAACTAAATGACAGGTCGACTTTGTTATGGTAGTGTTATCCGAGTGGACTCCGATTTGTATTGGGTCCCTCTAAAAATGTTTTTACAGGTTTTCTCAAGGTTCTTAAAGGCCAAATTGTTCCCTCTGAAGTAAAATGAAAATCAATTAAAGTACCTGTAATTGTAATACTTTTTTGGCCACCACAGGGCAAAGGATATTGATAAGGGAAGCTTTAATTGCTGCAGCAAGTATTACTTTCCCTTCCGTCCAGCTGTCCAACTCTGCCTTATATGCCTCTCGCCAGCAATTAACAAGGGAATTAACTTAAAGTTAACTTTAATCATACAAAATCATTAACTGGAAATATTTTTCTAATTAAATTTCCAGATGTGATAAGGAAACAGCGTTGATAAGAGGCTTGAGTGCATTAATTACTCTATACCTGGGGGTGAAATCTGCGTCAATAAATCCGGCTGCCCTCTAATCTTTCCATAGAATAAAGCTGGAGGTGGACCGCTGAGTCTGGCACAGTGCCAGACGAAGCCAGAGCAGCAACCTTTCCCTTTGATTTCCAACAATTAACTTATTAAACGGTCTTAATAACTGTGAAAATGGCCGCTCATTCTTCCCGTCATTGTCAGTCCTTCCACGTCACAGACCTCTTTAAATGTCCTGCTGCGGTTAAAGTGTGAAAGTCAAACACAAAGTCTAGATCAAGCAAGCAGAAGATAAAACATGTTGTTTGTATCCACATTGAAGGAACAGGAATTTCAATGAACAATGCTTTTTTTATTCTTTTATTACCAATTCCTTTTTTCAGGCCTACATTTAAATGTTAAATACAGTATACAAGTATTCAGACCCCGGGGGGATTTTATCCAGGCCGTGAAGAAATAACCCTTGAGAGTCTCAAGAGAAACAGCTGCACACATTGAGCAGCAGGACATGCTGAAGCTGATTTTAAAACGTTTTTTTCGCTTGTCCCCGCTGTGTATCTCACAGCTCCGACTGACTCATGCACTTGGCCGAGACGATCTTTTCTCGCACAAGCTTTAATTGATTAGCAGCCTAATTAAAGAGCAGCAATTGGGGCCGAGGCCGGAAGAGAAGGTGACAGAATCACAGCGCTCTCCTCTTCCCCCTCCGAGTAATTCTTTTACTGAGGCCCTAAATCAGGTTTGCCTGGGACTGATAATGGATGTCCGGGCTATATAAACATGCACCAAAAACCCAGTTCAATCCCCGTCTGGGATAAAGCAGACAAGTTACACAAGGAGGAAAGTACAGAGGAAAAAAAAAGGGTTTCATCAA